GGAAATAGGAATTCAACTGCAGAAAGGACAAATAGAAAGCTGAAGTACTAAACTTCACTTAAAAGCCTAAAGGGGGTGTTAAAAAAGATGGAGCATGACTCTTCTCAGAGGTACACAGTGAAAGGACAAGAAGCAATGTCACAGATTTCAGCAACAGAAATTTCAGCTGCTTATCAGTAGAAATTTTTTCACAATGACAGTGAAATAGAGAAGTTGGAAATTTCTATCCTAGGAAACTTTTAAGACTTGCCTGGCTAAAACTGAGCAACCTGATAGAACTTTTAAGTTGGTGCTGCTCTGAGCAGGAGCCTGGATTAACTGACCTTGAGAGGTCTCTTCCAACATGAATAAGTCTGTGATTTTGTAAATCTGTTATCTTATATTTCCAGTTATTTGGGGTGGGTAGGAGACAAAGTGGTCAGAAATATTTGATTTCCATTAAATCTTCTGGCAGGAAGCAACCTGATTACGAATTTTCCTTTAGCTTACATTTTAATAACTATGGTACATTCAGTTCTTTGTATCATATTTAACCATTTCAATTTTAAATAAGTGCATTTTTTAGTCTTCCTTATTATTTCGTGTTCCCCTGTTGCAGTTCAGGGCAATATAGGAAAGGAAGTAACATAATTTGAATGCAAATAGAAACTTTTTTTTTTTAGAACAATAGCTTGCAACTCATATCTGTAGAATGAGTACTAAAATCTTCAGGAATCACACTTCAACTACACATGGTGATCCATGTACACAATATCACCAGTGTGCTTAGAGCTCTTAGGTACCACAGTTCTGTACCTAACCTTTCATATTCTTATTCTACATGTTTTCACATCCAAACTGAAGTACAGGATTTACTTCTATATTTTTTTTCTCACTGCTGCAGTACACGGAGTATGATCCAATATGGCAGTGTCACTCAATTCCCAGACCTACATCTCTCAAATAGCCTATGTGGTACAGGGATTAAGGAAAGGATAGTGAAAAAGAAAAAAACAGTTGTGACTGCGTAATTAAAAGCTATATAAAAATTAATCTAAAGAGTGAGCTAAATCATGTGAAGTCAAACACTCTTAATTCTGGCATATCTTGATACTGGAGTGTTTGATTTTTAAAAATGCAATTTTTAATGTCAAAAGATATAAAAGTACAACCTTACGATTTAATAGATTAAACGTAACCTTTGTATATTATGAAATATAAATAAAGAAGATGTAAAGAATGCTACACAACTAGAAAATAAATCAATTTGGACAGTTAAAATGAGTTTGTAAAAAGTGCTTTCTTGGTCACAAACACATAATACTCTAGGGACTACAGCAAAGTAATTCCAGAGCTCAGCCAGGCAGCAGTGAGAGGAGAGCTCTTGTATCTGGTCACACAAATAGGGTTGCATGCAAAGAGAACCAAAAGTACTGAATCAAGGCTGGAATCGTGCATCAAGGGCTGCTTTGGACCCTGAATTCCAGCTGGTTCCCCTTGTTCAGCATCCCAAGCCCAGCCTCTGTCTTGACTTCCAGAAACTGATAGTAGCAGTATCTCCATGCTCCATGATGGGAGCAGTGCAAGCTCAGCCACTCATTTTTTTCAGCAAAAAAATTTTTACTCATTTCTAAACCAAAAATAGGAGTATGATCATTCTTATTCTGCTTCTATTCTCCTTGTGGGATCATTAGGCATCATTAGGGGAAGCTTTCAAATGCCTTGAAGCGAGAATACTGTTTCTTAATCACATAAGTATTTTTTTGTTGTTGTTGTTCTGAGATAGCTGAATCTATCTCCTTATGTCCTTTCCTGGGTTTAAAAAATCACAGAAATATTACATTTTTCTCAGAAATGCTTTCTATTATGTTTTATTCTTTTGTTTCACTACTTTACTTTAGATGTGCCTTATTCAAGACAAGAGGTTATGCTTTTCATATGCTACATTTGCTTAGCCACAGGCCAAAATAAATATTACCAGTCCTGAAACCAAAAAGTCCTACTTATACTGAGTATGGCACTCACCAGCAAGCAAAACAACACACAGACTAATTAAATGTTTTTGAAGACTAATACTGAAAAGTAAGTTTGAGAAGTGGGCTTTCTAGGCATTCATTCACAGTTCCACATAAAAATCAAGGTTAAGAACAAGTCATTGCACTTCCTCTTTGTTACAAACCTTTCTTATAAAGCCATAAATATTCCAGTTTGCTGTGAAAGAATTTCAACAAAGATAACTGTGCCTCGAGGATAAGAAATACTTAGTGTGATGCCGTTTCTCACAAGATATCTATGACTGCAATGATGTTTAATGCAAATGGATTTCCCCATCTCATTGTTCTAAAAATTTCTGAGTTTTTGCAGAGCTGTTTCAGTGTAATCAGGAGAAGCTGTAAAAATGTCACAACCTATGCCCCCACAACTACAATAAAAAAAAGGATGAAGTTAGCAAGGCTTTTGTTATAATTATTATAATTATAATTATAATTATGATTAATAATAACAGTGAAATATGTCCTCTCCATTGTATTAGCAGGTGAGGATGGAAAAATTGTTGTACACACACATAGAATGAAAGCTGTTCTCAAAACTTCAAAAAAAAAGTCTTACTTTTATTTTATTTGGTAGTAAGCTATGAATTATACATATAAAAATAAACTATACCCATCTGAACTATTATTAGACTGTAATTTTAATCCATCAGTTCTTAAAACCATGCTGCACAGGATCCTCTCTTATAGTTTACAACCTCAGAGGCATCCCCCTAGTACTTGCCTAAAGGTTATTTTTTATTCTCTGTTTAGAGCCAATTCAGACCCAGAGCTTTTCTCAAGGTTCTACATGCCATTCCAAACAAACAAAATATGCAGGATTATCACTACAGATTTAAAGTTGCAGTTATTCCCAGATGAAAATATAAATAATACAGAAGATTCAGTGCAAGATTTATGAGTATGACTGAGAGACGCAACACTTACAATGATCCATTTTGTAAGAAACCTACATCAGTAAAACAGCCAGAGATTCTGAAGAGGTTTATCCTCCTAGAACAGGAGGGTATGTTTCCATTAGACATATATTTCTAGTCCCTAGATCTTGCAGAACATTTGATCATGTAGGGGAGCTTTGACATACCATTCACAGTTGAAAAGGAGTGGAGTGATGCCCCAAATGTGAATTAGACCTTTTTTAGAATAGATCTCTACCTATTTATTGAATCCATTTTGTAGGAACTTTTCCTTTGCTTTCTCTTTTTAGCAATTCTGTTGCTCTGAAGCCAGTTGAAGTACAAGGAATACACTCTACTGGGTATTTCAAGGAAAATCATATCACTGGAACAAATAATACCTCTAAAGACCAAATAAAAAATTTAACTGCATTCAAGCACAGGCCTGAACTCTACAGTTGGTTGGGAAAACTCTAGATGACACATCCCTAGACTTCAGAAAAAATCACGTCAAGGTTTAGCCGTTTGTAGCCCATTTTTATTCCAAAAAGTACTTACTAGTGTTTTTAAGCTGGTTTTATACCCATTAAGACACAGTACTTGAACAGCTGCCTCTATTTTCTCAATTCTTTTCCATCCCCTTTCATTTCCCCAGACAAGATAAGCATCCCAACATTTACAGCTGTAGGAATGCAGGTGGCTGAAATAAGCAGGTGGAAAGAGGGCGGATTGGATTGAGTACAACTGTACAACAGGTGCTGGGTTTGTTATATACATTAGTTCACTTAGCAATAAAGAAGGGATTTTAACCAAAAAAAAAGATAGGCAAGTTCTTTTATTTACTATGTTTTTTGCCAAGCTTTTAATGAGATTGGAGGTATAAAAACCAGAAAGTGTAATGTTTTACCTGCAGAAAATTACTTTACACTCTCAGGAAATGAAATTCTGATCCTTTTTGAAGTCAGTATCTTTTGAAGAAACAGAATACATGGGGATGAAATACCCTTGTCTCCAGTAGCTTTTGTACATTGGGGGTGATTTGAAACAAAATACAGGTAAGGAAGTATCTTCGCCCCATTTATTCTTCCTATAATTGTGTTTAACTTTCTGTATCATAAGATATCAGTAACTCACAAAGGATCAGAGAACTACATCTGTAATTTACAGTTGGGCTAAACTCCCTATGATCGAAACAGCAATTAAAAATCTAAGTCAAGAATAGAATGTGATCTGTATGACACATGGGATTCTCCTTGATGGTCAGCTCATAGCACTGTGAGCATAATTCAGCATGGGCTACAATATTTAGAAGTGTATTACTCCAAAAAAATAATTTGTTGCCACTGCTAATCTTTTATCCCACAAATTGCCAGCTTTCTGGGAACACCTTGGAAAGTAGGAGTTTTGGTTTAAAATGTTGGATTGAGCCATTACCAACTGCCGCTTTATGTGTTATCACTTGGAGTGTCAATAAAACCCTATAAATATGTCATTCTTGGGAAAATATATTTTTCCTATGGATTTTTACTGTGTATAAGTGTTCAAGCATAACATTACTACTATAAGCACAAACTTAAAAATCACTGCTTTAGCCAAAAGGCAATCTGTTCTGGTATCTCCATTTACAACTTAATTTAATGAAAGACCCCTTCTTTTGTAATTATTATGCTATGCTGTAAGAACCCTGAATCGAATCCAGCTAAGTAACAGCAAGCTAAATGGTACAATAAATATTTGTTTACCCCTGAGATGGCAATGTTTTGTATTCATGAGAGCATTAATTAATGTCTCTCAGAGGGGTGAAATTTGCACTGCAAGACTACTGAGAGGGGCAAAAAGAAGTAATTTTCTTTTAAAACATATATACTATTATTTTTGTGGGCATCAGAATGCATATGCTCATTACTTTCTAGTTTAAAAATTTCTAACACTCCAGAATATTCCAAATTTCCATCATACTACTACACTCCTCCCAATAACACAAAAAGGATGAGTAAAACAGTGTACAGTCTGTTATTGACTGGGGCATGTTAACAAAGTGCTGATGGCTTGAATGTATCCAATGGTAAATTACCTTTGAAAGGTCCCCAGCCTCCAAATAGAAGCAGATAACAAACACGTTCCACGTAACCCAAAGAACCAGCCAGACAGCATACTGTAGGGAGGAAGAGAGAAACACTGCATTAAGAATTCCACTATCAACTGAGTTAAACTTACTTCATTAGACCACTAGTTCAGCCCAAGACAAAACCAGACTATAAATATGACGCATATGGACAAAAATGTTATACATAAAATAGAACCATGAATAAATTCTTCCCTTTCCCAGACACAGTTTGGAGTGACCTAGTGAGTACTTAATCAGACCAGAAAATCTATCTCAGAAAACAGGTGATAGATCTTACATTTGATTTGAGACTACTCTCTATCTCTTATTTTTGTTCCAATGGGGAATACTACAATATAGAGAAATGTAACCTTAATTATACATTAGAAGTGCAGAGCTGTTTATTCAAACGGTTATTCAAATATAACTTACTAAACAATAGTCTAATTGAACTAGGCACTGGATTCTGCAACACTTCAGGTTGTCTCAACAAACCCATCATATATATAACCTGAAGAAAATAAATCTATCTATATATATAGGTTATTTTGTAGCATTTCTACAGAATATGGAGGGATTCGGTCCTCACAGTTGCCTCTATCAATATATTTTGTGACTTTCCAAAGCATAGTTCATAATTATTCAACACCCTCAAGGGTCAGGCTGCATTTTAAACTGTTAATTTCTTGGGGAGTGGGGGGGTTTGGTTGGTTTTTTTGTTTTGTTGCTTACAGGAGAAGTATGTATGCTTAAGCAATATATATTCATTGGTAGTTGCAAAACTTCTTATTCATGTATCTGATGAGTAATGGAGTACATGTTTTTTATCCTTCTGTCCACTATTTTGCTTCTGTTTTGTATTCGTAAGATCTTATGTGCTAGGACTGGAATCTACGTTCCCCTGCTATAATGCTAGAGAATCTCACATAATAAAGTTTGACCTGCTATTGTTAATCTTATCTAATGTTTGTACTTGAGAACTTCCCTTGACAAATTAGCCTGTCATCTAATAAACTTTAGGATCTACAAATATTTTTCTAATGGCTGTTGTAGCTATCCTCTGGTTGTTCACAATTCAATTCTGCATGTTTGCTAATTTCATTCCATGTGGCACTGCGCATGTGTGAAATACGAGTGATAGGACACTATTCCTTCTCTGTTATAGACGAGAGCTATTTTCTCCTTTTACAACACCACCCCATTTCTCTAAAGTATTTACAGACTTATTCTTCATGTCTTCTATTTTTTTCTTCAAACTATACTGATTAAACCTTGATAAACTACATTTCCAAATCAGGAAACACTATTTTCTGCACACCTCCGTGTTCACATTCTGAATAAGCAGACAATATTTTGGACTTTATATTATCCATCCCCCACAAAAAAAATACACGACAAACTATTGTTTGTCATGAATGACAATCTCATTCTCTAAATTCAGTAACAACTGATGTAGAATTCTTCTTGCATTTCTCTTGCAAGTGCTGTTTTGTATCACATTGTCTATTACTGAACATGCCATTTTCTTGTTAATCTTCTAGATACTGTGAAAATAATACAATTCTGTCCTTTCTCAGGATCTAAAGTGAGATTATACCCAATATGACTAAAATTTAGATCTGTTCCAATTTCTTATTTTTATAGCTAACAAAATAATTGCCAGCCAGCCTAGCTATTAAATAGACCATGTACAGATTTATAAAGAATTATGATAAATATTGTTCTGGTTTAATGAAGGCTAACACAGCTTTAAAGGCTAGAATTGATTTATACAGAAGTAATTTCAGGTAATTTAAAGCATACAGATTACATATACTTTATAGGTCAGCTCTTTCTGGTCACAGATGATAGATTTATTTAGGTCAGGAGGGACCCTCTGGAGGTCACCTGGTCCAATCTCTGTTTAAAGTACGGCCAGCATGGATAAGATTTTGCAGGGATTTATCCAGGGATGGCCTCGATAATCCATGTCTACTCTTTGAGTGCAGGCTCCTAATAAAACTTTAGAAAATAGGAACTTAGTTCAGATGCATGGTGCTAATAACATTAAGGTTGTGGGTTTGATATCCTTATGGGCCATCCACTTAAGAGCTAGACTTCATGATCTTTGTGGGTCCCTTCCAGCACAGAATACTCTGTGAAATCTGTGAAACACACTCAAGATTTTTTAACACACCTGTGTGACATTAAGTACATTGAGTATGTCATTTTCCTGTAGCTTGCTCACAGTACACCCAGCTTCACATGTAACATGGAGCTTTATAAATAAAAGACAAGAGAAGAAAACATTAATTTAGATTCAATAACCTTAATTTGGCATTTTTGCTGCATTTTCTGCAGCATTTTAACTTGCTGCTTTTTGCCAATTATTTTAATACTGCAATGTTATATATTCTGATGGAGTTAATACAAGTAGTCCTTCTGACATGTGGATTTCTTACAGTGAAAATTCTAAATACTGCATTTAGACTGGTTTCTCAAAAAAACGAGACTGAAAAAGTAGTATTCATGTGCAATGTCTGTTCCCTTGAAAGATCTTTTGTGCTTCAGAACAATTTTAAGCAAACTGGACAAAACCATAGAAGATCTGAGGATTTTTTTTACAAAAATCAGGAAAAGAGGCCTACAAATGGGAATAGACACTCTAGTAAATCCTTATACAGAGAAAGACTTACAAGGTCATCATTTACCAGTCAACATGAAGGGAAAAAATTAGGGAGAGAGACACTGGAAACTAGGTTTCATTAGATCAGCTGTTCATGGCTGATGAACTCATCACATTGCATGTAAGCAATAGCTGGATAAAAAGCTCATCATGCACAGTACATTCAACAGAACGCTCCAAGGTACATGGGAGCTGCTTGTCCCAGCAGAGAACCTTATTACATGAAGAAGCAAAACTTTTCTTTTCCACTGTCTAGTCTATCACCAAAAAATAACAAGTTTATCTGCCATTTAGATACACTCTTTTAATGAGCATCTGTTCATACTGGACTACAGATAAGGTTAAAAATTTCTTGTAAAAGTACGCTTTAAACTTCTTCCTATTGAACGTTATATTAAGTGTTTGTTGCCTGAATGACGTGGATTAACACTGAGTTTAGTTGTCTTGAAATACAAGGATGTTTCTGTTTCCCACTGCTTCTTATTTCTGATGCTTCAGATCTAGCACATCTCTTATCTCTGCATCACATGCAGTCATAAATGCCTCTTGTTGTCTATGTGCTTCAGCAAATTGTTGCAGAAATTCAGCTCTGAAGATCTGTGACAATGAACAAATCCCTCTGGCACTCTCTTATATGTGTCTAATTAGAAACATTTTTTATAAGAGTTCTTCAAAGCCGTATTTTTTCTTATATTTGGGAGTTCAAGACAGCTGCATTATTTGACAGAAGCCACCACAATGCTACAGCAGTCACATATCAACAAGACAAGGACTTTGATAAATACACATTGACCAAGCAGGAGATACTGACAGGAAGCACAACAATGACAATGCAGTTTATTATTTTTATGGAGATCCACACTGGAAAGAAGTATAATTGGAAGGTTAAGACTGAATGTTTGAATACTTACTATCTGGAAAATTTTTAGCCAATTACTAAAAGTTCCTTTTATGTGTAAAATAAATTATATCGATACAGCTCTTCCATGTTATAATATGCTTATGATTCTTGAAGTAAACATGAATTTATAACCCTCTGCAAAAAATTTGAAAACAATTAGCTATCTTATGATCTATTGATACATGTTTGAAAATTTGCTATAAATCATCATAAGCGAATGGAAAACTGAAATATTGAAATACTAGTTCCAGAAATAAGAATCCATACATTCTTCTTAACACTTCTATCAAAACTGGTTAGGTAACATTATCTACATTTTACTAACAGGGAAACTGAAGGTCAAAGAAATTAAATCACTAGATTTAATTCCTCAGCTGAATAGAAAAATGATTACAAGGGCACAAGAATCAAAGTTTCAGGTAGCTCACTACTGCATATTGTATAAACCTGGTCACGAGAGCTCACATCTAATACTCTTGTAACTCTTTGCTTGAAGGGGAAATATGTCACATACCTTTCAAGTATAAATAGTGAGCAAATCTGAAAGCTTTGAGCATTTTAAATTTAAGCATTTTTTTTCCACAGAACTTTACACGGCATTTCTCTTGCTCCCAAATTATTTTCTGATATGTGAGTCAATTAAAAACACATTTGACTGTGGGCTCCAAAGAAGAATCAGAAGCAAAATTCTCGCCCAGTAGAGATACAGTTACTGAATGTGTGAGGACCAGATGTTTTAAACAGAACTGCTGCTCTCAGCAACCTAACACAAAGAGCAACCATTCTCTGCTTTTAATGATCCAGCTGAAAGTCTTCCCTGCCCCGCAGTTACCTACTGGCCTCAATGGAAGAGAGCTCAGGGCCAAAACCAGTAGTCTTGACAACAAATAATATTCCTCGAAGCAGAGAGTTTTGTGCAACCAGTTCAACTTCAATAAATGTTCATTCGCTTTCTTCAGCGTACTGGGAATTTTTTACAGAATGACATAATTATCTGGATTTTTTTCATTTGGTTGTCACAGCATACAGGTTGCACTAGTTTTGCTTGTCTGGATTCTTCATATCATTAGGACTTAGATATTTCTTGCAGTCTTTTATTTCTTTTTATTTATTTTTAATTAATCATGTCTATAGTATCAGAGCACTGTTCATCTTTGTGAGCTTCTGTTTCTAAGCAAATATAAATTGATTTTGTAGCATCCATTTTGAGTTGTTGGAGTTTTCTGTCTCAAATTGCAGTGACATTCTAGTTTTCTGCTTGTCTTTACCAGGGAATTTTTTAACCCATTGGCATTGTGAATCCATGGCTCTTCAGTCTTTCATTAGTCACAAATTTATATATATTTTTTCTCCTTCTCTTTGTTTCCTCAGATAAAAAAATTCTGTCTGATATTTTACTTCCTTGTTACACTTTAATAATTAGTGTCCTCTGCCAAGACTGACTGAAAGCTGCCGAACTGTCAAGTGCATCAGAACTGGTCA